TTTCTTGTTTTTACGGGGAAGCAACAAGATCTCTCCGGTACAAAACCTGGAACACGATGACAAGATTGAGAGGGGAGAGCACTCTTCCATGGATGTGTATTGGGGATTTCAATGAGATCCTACGGCCCGAGGAACAATTTGGGCCTAATGAGCGTGATAGTGCGCAAATTGATGCATTCAGAGAGGCTGTGGATATATGTGGTCTTGCTGATTTGGGCTACCGAGGTTTGGACTGGACCTGGGAGAAAAAAGTGTCAGGAGGTCATTTCTGCAGAGTTCGGCTGGACAGAGCCTTGGGCACGGCCGAATGGTCTGCCCTCTTTCTATTTGCTTTGGTGGAACATCTAACAGCGGCTAAATCTGACCACTGCCCTATCCTATTGGAGACGGATCTTGTGGACACGAGTGTGAGAGCAAAGCAGAAGCAGTTTTGGTATGAATGCATGTGGGAGCGCAATCCGAGATTTAGTGATGTGGTAGCTGAGGCGTGGAACTCTAATGGCAAGGCCCAATCTGTAGCGGCACTGTCCGAGAAACTTTCCTTTGTAGCTGGTAGGCTGTGCAAGTGGGGCCGAACCACTTTCGGTGCTGTCAGAACAGAGCTGCGGTCACTTCGTATGAAGCTTGCAGAATTGCGAGCGCTGTCAGATCGCACAGGACCGTCGCTGGAAGAAGAGCGGGTTGAAGCCCGCATGGCTGAGTTGTGCTGCGCGAGGAAATCATGTGGCATCAATGGGCCCGTGTTCAGTGGCTGGCGGAGGGAGACAACAACACCAAATTTTTTCGTCGGAAAGCTAGCGCTCGGAAGGCCCGCAACTGTATCAGCGAATTGCAATGAGCGGATGGTACTGTCTGTACGGATGAGCAAGAGATGGCAAACATTGCAACGAGCTTCTATGGTAATCTTTATGCCTCTGAAAATACTATTGGGATTGAGGAAGTGCTTTCCCATATACCAGCCAGGGTGGATGGTGCCATGAATGACATGCTCAATGCTCGATATACCAACACCGAAGTGAAAGCGGCTTTATTCCAGATGTTCCCTACCAAGGCTCCAGGGCCCGACGGCTTTCCTGCACACTTCTTTTAGAGGCATTGGGAGTTGTGCGGTGATGAGGTAATTGATATGGTGCTACGTGTTCTAAAGGGAGAGGATTCCCCGGAGGAGATAAATAAAATGTTCATTGTTTTAATCCCCAAAATTGTAAGTCCAAAAAACTTAGGATAGTTTAGACCGATAAGTCTCTACAATGTGATCTTCAAGATTGCATCTAAGGTTCTGGCTAATCGGCTCAAGCTCATTCTCCCCGAAATCATCTCTGAGGAACAATCATCATTCGTACCAGGATGACTTATCACGGATAACTTCATCTCTGCTTATGAATGTCTCCACTACATGAAAACGCGAAAGGTAAAGGGTAACAGATTTTGTGCTTTGAAGCTTGATATGATGAAAGCATATGACAGAATTGAGTGGAACTATCTTGAAAGGGTGATGCTAAAACTAGGCATAAGTGCAAGTTTCACAGAGATTATTATGAGGTGTGTTACCTCAGTTTCTTTCTCTGTTGTTTTTAATGGTGCAAAGCAAGAAGAATTCAGCCCATCACGAGGACTCAGGCAAGGTGACCCAATATCTCCATATGTGTTTCTGCTGGCCGCCGAGGGTCTCTCGTGTTTGCTCAAGTCGGCTACTCCGAATGAGAGTATAGGGGGTATCAAGGTTGCAGAGGGCGCTCCGGAGGTAAATCATTTATTATTCGCTGATGATAGCCTCTTATTTTTTGATGCCACACCTGAGATGGCGATGAGGGTGGACTCTTTGTTGCAACGTTACTGTGAAGCTTCTGGCCAGCGCATCAACAAGGCCAAGTCATCAATCTTTTTCAGCAAGGGCTGTGCGGATTCTCTGAAGCAACATGTGATGCAAATCTTACAGGTTCAGAATGAAAAATTGTCAGATAAATACCTTGGCCTTCCAGCTGATGTTGGGAGAGCTAAGGAAGGGGCTTTCAAATATCTAAAGGACCGTATATGGAAGCAGGTGCAAGGTTGGATGGAGAAGGCCTTATCTGTTGGTGGTAAGGAAGCGCTAATCAAATCAGTTGCTCATGCGATTCCTACCTATTCCATGGCCTGTTTCAAACTGCCTCGGGGTCTTTGTCAGCATATAAATGGTTTGTTGAGGAAATTTTGGTGGGGGTCTAAGAAAGGAGAGAGGAAGACTGCCTGGGTGTCATGGGAAGTTATGTCATAGCCAAAGAACATGGGCGACATGGGCTTCCGAGACATTGAGCTCTTCAACTTGGCACTACTTGCCCGGCAAGCCTGGCGGCTTCTGACCCAGCCGGACTCTCTCAGCGCCCGCATTCTGCGAGCGGTGTACTATCCATCTTCTTCAATCCTTGACGCAGAAGTGGGGAGGAATCCATCACAAGTTTGGCGGTCTATCATTGAGGGGCGGGATGCACTAAAGTTCGGCCTTCTGAAACGCATCGGATCAGGGGATAGTACCAACATTTGGCATGATAACTGGGTCCCCCGCGACTTCAAACTCCGGCCAGCTAGCCCAAAATCCCAGAATCCTCCTCAACAGGTATCTGAGCTTATAAACCCAGTCACCCACACCTGGAACCGTGCAGTGCTTGATGAACATATGTACCCGATGGACGTGGAGGCAATCCTCAACATTCCCCTTAGCAGCAAGGTTCAGGCTGACTTCTGGTCGTGGCACTACGAGAGGGGAGGGATCCTCACTGTGAGTTCAGCGTACAATTTGCTGGCAGCGACAAAACAACAACGTACAGATTGGCTGGAGCATAATGATGGTCACTCCAACGTCACAGCTGATAGTCGCTCATGGGCCAGACTTTGGGGCGCAGCGGTTCCCTCAAAAGTACGTGTCTTTTGCGTGGAGACTTGCCAAAACCTCTATACCCACGGGGGCTTTTCGACAACACAGAAGCATGGCCGACTCCGCTGAATGCTCTATTTGTCGCGCGACGGTGGATACGTGGCGTCACGCTCTTTTTGACTGCCATATGGCTAAGTGTGTTTGGGCTCTCTCTAATGAAGAAATCACTGAAACAATCATTTCTAACCGGACGGATGATGCTAAGCTATGGATGTTTTGGCTAGTGGATACCCTTCCCACGGCGGACCTGGCGCGGGTGCTTGTCACGATGTGGGCAATCTGGTGGGCGAGACGCCGAGCTATCCATGACGAGCAGTTCCAGAGCCCCCTCAGTACCCATGTTTTCATTACCAAATTCATGGCGGAGCTTGATCAAATCCCAGAGAGGGGGGCGCGCACGAAGGACCTGCATGCGCAATCGAAGGACTTGCATGCAATATCTAGGGGCATGCATGCAATGCCCAGGGACACGCATGTAACTACGGGTGCAGGACAGCCGATGCGGTCTGCATGGCTACCGCCAGAACTGCACGATACCAAGATCAATGCTGACGGAGGCTTCTCCAAGATTGGCGACAAGGGCGCTTCCGCGGTAGTGTGTCGAAACAGAAACGGGAACTACCTTGGGGCTTCAGCGATCATAGTCGAAGGCCTCTTGGACCCGGTGATACTCGAAGCACAAGCGTGTAGCGAGGCGCTAGCGCTTGCTACAGACTTACAAGTCCAGTCCATATGTGTGGCCACAGATTGCCTAGAAGTGGTGACAAGGATCAAGGATGACTTCGCATGCAAGTTTTTTCCAATTCTGCAAGATATCAAGTATCAGAGAAGAGCTTTCAGGGCAGTAGAGTTTATCCATGAAAGTAGAAAACATAATGGAGAGGCTCATGCTTTAGCTAAGGCTGCCGCATCCCTCCCTCCCGGACGCCATGTGTGGCTTTCATCTATGCCCGATATTATCTGTATTCCAATGACTGTTCATGCTTAATAAAGGATACAGATTATGCTAAAAAAACCCAGTTGTTACCTGTTTCTCAAAAAAAAAAAAAACTCAGTTGTTACCTCGCTTACATGACGGTCCCACGGCCCTAACGCGCGGCATGGGTCCACCTGCACCCTCCCAAAGCCCACTGCTAACTGAAACGAACGTGCATCTTCTGGTAAGCAATCTCCCTCCCCGCCCCGCCCCCGGAATCCCGATCCCCTCCTGGATCTCGCCGCGCGCCCGAAGCCAAGCGCGGC